CAATTTAATTGTGAACAAATTGATAATAAAAGTTCATTAATATTTCGACTAGAATTAGTTAAATTATAATATCTGACAATTAAATATACATTTTTACTACCACCTAATTGTGATAATATATTTTGAACTATTTTTGTACAAAGTAAAGTTTTACCCGATGCTCTTGTACCTAAAATCATTAATGGATAATGTTCATTTTTATTTGCATTTAATGTAATACGTTTAATTTTTTCTAATAATGAATCAAATCCAAGATATGTTTGATTTACATATGATTGATAATGATATAAATGTGTTAAAGTTTCATCATATAATAAATATTCATGAAATTTTAAATCAGGTATAAATACAGTTGTTGTTGTTGATGATAAATAATCATCAACAATAACTTTAATACGTAAAAATATGGCAGCATTTAATGTTCTTAAATATCGTTGATGTTCACTATCATCAATTTGAAAACCATTATCTTTCCAATTTAAATTAAGTAATTGTCGATTTTCATCATCTAATTTTGTATTAATCATATCACGAAATTTTTTTAATTTATCTTGACGAATTTTATCAATTTTATTATTGATAATATCTAAATAGACTTCACAACCTTTATTTTTCTCTGTTAAACCTAGAATAGAATTAAATTTTAATTTTAAAATATATTAAAAAAAATTTTTTATTCTCAATAAATACCATCAAATTGTCGAATAATACACATACAACCGGATGTTGATTGTTTTAGACCAAAATTAAATAATGTTTCAACACCTATATGATGGAAGAAAAAAAAATTATTTCAATATTATTATTATTATTATTATTATTTTGTTTTTATTTTAATCACATATTTTTTATAATCATAAATCTATACCGGAAAGGAGTTGAATGTCTTGTAAGGAATTTATTTCTTGTTTTGTTTTAGTATTTATTTTCTCTTTGACATCTTTTGGTGGCATTTCGTATAAAATTTGAGTAAATATTTCAATTAATGATGTATAAACATTTTGCCATTCTTGATTATCATTTACACTTAAATCATAGATAGATGTTGATCT